TATTACACTCCGTATACCCATTACTGTGTGCCATAACTCGTGACACAAGGAAACGCCACAAGAAAACCGTCAACCGCCACCAGACAGTTTTCTTCAACGGCAAAAAGCGGCTGTGACAACCTTCAGCCAGTTAAGGGTCTTGGCATGGGAGGTTGGTAGGCAGCCGTTCGACAGTGAGGTCCAAACGACAAAGACTGAGTAAAGAAGTTGAGAGCGCGTCGCGTGCGTATTCTTTGACAATCATCCGAACAGGCTTTTCATCGTATACGGTACGCAACGTCTGGCGTGAAACGAGAAACGTTGGGGGCTTCGAGACATGGTCATCGGCTTGGGCTTGAAGATTCGGCTTTCGAGAGGACAAGGACAAGGACAAGGACAAGGACAAGGACAAGGACAAGGAACCGCTCGTGTGGCCTCAATGTTCGCAACCCGGCAGTTTGGATAGCTGGAGTCTTGGCCCCACGACTGCCGGATGAATGATTCGCTGGTAAGTCGACGGGGTCGCAGCCTGGGGTATACGAGCACAAAGCGCCGAAGGACACGGTCAGAAAATGTGGTGTGGTTAAGTTTACTCGGAGGTTTACGACGTCTAGCGGCGGCGATGGGAAACGGAGGTGGAGAACAAGCGCCTGACTAAGGTGGACCCTGAAGCCCCGATCACGGGAACTGGGCCAATCATTCCAGAAATATTTAAGCTTCATCTTGATCCGGGCTGAAGCGCTAATAAGGTTTAGCGACGGTAGCGGCTTGGCACTAAAATGTGGGGAAGGTGCCGCCCGGGTTTACTGACTGCTGCCTCTCGTTCGACTTTCCCACCCACCCAGCCTTTCTCCCTCCTCGTCCGAGTCCTCCTCTTCCTCACCTCATCGCCAATTCCGGCGAATCCAACGCTTTGTCCCACCTCTCGTCTTTTCCATTTCCGGCCGAAACATGGACACTGCCTCCACGTATCCTCCAGTTTACCCCTGAGATCAGACTGCTAGGCCTTCAGACTCCAGACGATGTGCATTGTCCGAACTTCAACGATCCATCCGATATCAATGCGAAGCTTCTTCTCTGCGCAGAAGTCGAACGAAAAGCTCACCAAGGCATGTCGTCGAATCATGGCCGCATCATCGAAGGAATAAGCATTCTGCAGCATCCATCAGCTGCGTCAATGTGGCGTACGATAGTCTCGTCAAGTTGTCGGCCTGGCCACGCTGTCCAGTCCCAGTGGCTCCCACATCGCATCACGTGCCGCAAGACTGCGTCTGGCTTCTTCAACCAGCCTTCGACAACCTCTTGATGAAGTCGGCTGCTGACACCGTATGCTAAGCATTGTCAGCCTAATGACACCAACGAGAAAGTTCTGCTTGTCATGGATGACATGGGGTTGGCATGAACCGGGGTGTGCCCCTCCAGCATCGGATGGGAAGGAAACCCAGTCGGGACCCGATCAGAGCCGGCACAAGCGTCGATAGAGACCAACTTTAGGCCTGTGTGGAGGCCCGCAGCATTCGGGTCGCACAGAATGCCTGCTTCGAGCTGTTCCGCTCTCATGTTTTAGCAGCTGGGCCAGATACGATGCACCCTTCCACAACTCCGAAGCCATTGGTCCGGGGCAGCATCCCTGCTCCCGTGTTCTGGGGAACGCAGAGTCCGATTTGTCAATGATCCCATCCACCTCCAACTTGACGGACTACTGACCCAGTACCCTGGAACCTCTTGCATATCAGCTCCGAGTCGCTTCTTTCTCTGCTGTCCATTGGATACACATCAGCTCTTAGGCATTCTGCGCCTACCGGTACTGGCGCTCGAGCCAGTACCGTGATCCCAGAATAGCCCTGCTGGGCCATTTTTGGTGCTCGCTCAGTGGCTCGTTTCAACTTAATAGGCTCGCGCTATTGATATCTTGCATTGTCGAAGGTTCTGAGGCTGAAATCGCTACACCAGATTCAAGAACAAGGGATCTGGACTGACTGAACAGCCGCACTAGCTCTTTCTTTATGGCCTCGACGCCTGGCGTCAACTCCCAGCCTTCTCATGTCGTCTTGACCAGCGTCAGGTTAACCTCCTGTACCCGGTCGGCAAAAGGTTTTCCTACATTTCCATGCATCGAATATTGCGCTACGCATACGTGGCGCTCGTCTTGAGGGCCTGCTCATTGACCCAACCACAGAACGCACTTCGACGTTGAGAATTTGGATCTGGAGGCTGTCGCTGCCGCCCGTTGACTTCTTCATCCGTATATTCGATCCACGAGTTTGCAGATGGGGTCACCTTCGAGGAATCGAACGGATCGCACGTGCTAGAGACTAGCTCGACCATCCCGTGGGCTGCTGCTTCTGCTCAACCAAGATCCTGGGTTGCCGATGGCCTAGACCCCCCTTGGCATACTCGGACAAGAGTCTTGCATCTACCGCGTGTTTCTAGACTGGCCTTCTTTCTTCACCGTCCAGAAATCTGCCCTTGGAGTGTATGCATGGACAACGACATGCCCCACTGACGCCGAACGATGCGATCCATGTTGAAGGACCGTAAGTCGGCCATTGAGCTTTACAGCACGCCCTCCTCAGCCCACCCATCCCAAGGGTATCGCTCGCCTTAGAGAGCAGCTCAGGCTAGCGATGCTCTTGCTCTAAAGGGCTAACCGATAACCTCCGTGCGGGAAACATTTCGCTCGAGGTCAACCCTTCACCGGCTCACGCCATTGCTAAGGCTGTCGTTGTGGCTTTCTACCTGGGATCCGGCGTGGGTCTTGTCAGATTGGACTGGATCGCCGTAATTCGGTCCATGGTGTCGCCGCCTCGACCACTCAGATTTTTGATCAAGATGAAATATGAAAGTTGATAAATACTGGAGTTCTGTCCCTACCGATGGAAATCTTCTCCACCAGTCTCATCGCCCTCATCTCCTTCCAAGCATTTGACAGTTACAAAGGCGTCGCCACCCGTCTTGGCCAGCACTTGTCACTTGCACTGTTTCTCTTGGCTCTTTTCCCTGCATATCATCTTCCATCTCCGCCATGGTCTCTCTCACTCTTCGCCAGTCTCTGGCCATTGTCTTAGCTCTCGCTTCTGATACCCTCGCCAAGGACTGGGACAGTCCCGCATACACATGGCTCTACGAGTTTCCCCTGCCAATCCCCCCTCCCAAGGAGGAACGATAGTAAGCCCCATCCTCACCTCATACCGTTGATGAAGAGCTCTCATGGTTGACTTTCAGCAGCCCCAATCAGGCGATCATCAATCCAGTGACTGGAAAGAAGATCAGGTACTATGAGGTTGAAGTCAAGGAGTTCACCGCCCAAGTCTACCCCAACCTCAAGCCTGCCAATTTGGTTGGATATGATGGCATAGCGCCTGGACCAACCTTCCTCATGGAGCGTGGCGAAGAGGCGGTCGTTCGCTTCATCAACCACGCCAAGATGGCCAGCTCTGTGCATCTTCACGGCTCTCCTTCGGTAAGACTTCGAAGCATCCACCTTTGAGATACTGTCATCTAACCTTTCATACTCAGCGCACACCTTGGGATGGTTGGGCTGAAGATGTCTTCAACCCTGGTCAGTACAAAGACTACTACTATCCCAACAACCAGAACGCCCGTACTCTCTGGTACCACGATCATGCCATTGACCACACTGCCGAGAATGCCTACTTTGGCCAGGCTGGCGCATACATCCTCCACGACTCTGCTGAAGACTCTCTTGGCCTCCCCAGCGGTTACGGCGTCTACGACATTCCTCTGATCCTCTCTGCGAAACAATACAATTCCGATGGTACTCTGTACTCGCCTGCCAACGAACAGACCAGCTTGTACGGGGATGTTATCCACGTTAACGGACAGCCTTGGCCGTATCTGAAGGTTGAGCCCCGCAAGTACCGTTTCCGTCTGCTCGACGCCGCCATTTCCCGTACATTCTTCCTCTACCTCGAAGATCTTAAGGCCAACAGAGTCGAATTCGAGGTCATCTCTTCCGATGCCGGCCTCTTAACGGGACCCCAGAAAGTCAAGGATCTCTACATCTCCATGGCCGAGCGCTACGAGATTGTCATCGACTTCTCCAAGTACAAGGGCGAGAATGTCACCATGCGCAACACCAGAGGCTTCGCCGCTGATGTTGACTATCTGCACACCGACAAGGTCATGCGCTTTGTAGTCAGCGATGGATCAGTCAATGACAAGTCCGAAGTCCCCTCCGCCCTCCGCGCCGTGCCGTTCCCCAAGGACAAGACCGGCGTTGACCAGCACTTCCTGTTCCACCGCACGGGCAGCGACTGGCGTATCAACGGTGTCATCTTTGCCGATGTAAACAACCGCGTCCTTGCCAAGCCTAAGCGGGGTACTATTGAGGTCTGGGAGCTCGAGAACAGCTCCGGCGGCTGGAGCCACCCCATCCACATCCACCTCGTCGACTTCCGCGTCATCAAGCGCGTCAACGGCCGTAGCAACACGGTCTTCCCATACGAGTCCCAGGGTCTCAAGGATGTCGTCTGGGTTGGACCCGGTGAGACGGTGACCGTCGAGGCTCACTACGCCCCCTGGCCCGGTGTCTACATGTTCCACTGCCACAACCTCATCCACGAGGACCACGAGATGATGGCTGCCTTCAACGTCACCAAGCTCGAGGACCTTGGCTACGACGAGGAAGCCTTTGCCGACCCCATGCAGTTGGAGTGGCGCTCTAAGAATGAGAGCTCCGCTGCATCTAGCTGGGACGCGATCAAGTCCCGCGTCGAGTACATGGCCAAGCTCCAACCCTACAACAACGAGCAAGAGGTCGAGAGTCGTCTGGATGCTTACTGGGCCACCAAGACTAACGCGCCATCCCCGAGCTCGACGCCCTCGACTCTGGTCGTCAGCACCACCACGAGCCCCGTGGTCACCTCCCCCGCAGCCACTTCTGCCAGCTCGACCATCACCTCCAAGGCCACCACCACCAGCAAGTCTGATGACGACGACAAGAAGAAGAAGACTTCGTCGACTAGCACCAGCACCACTTCTTCCAAGAAGAAGCGTGGCATGCGCTTCCGCGGTGTGGATATGGAGATGCCCAAGCGCACTGCCGCGCCCCAGGCATGAGAATGATTAATCATCACACAAGAGACGAATTTTGAGAGTTTTGTATGACCATCTCTCCGGTTTACGACTTAATGACACAACCCACGCTCCTTATAGACCATTAGATATCCTGTCCTTGAGCACATCTAGACATATTTTTCATACTACATAGTACGGGCGGCGAGAAAACGGGCAGCCCTCACGGTATTTGTAATGTTACTTACTCTTAATCGAATGCAACGAGAAAACTTGATATGCAGTGTTACTTATTGGGTGCCAGTGTGTTATCGTTCACTAGAATGTTCGATACACGGTCTGTTTAATAATCTTTTCCGAAAGACCAAGATGCCGTAACCACTGGTCCAAGTGCGCGCCCAAATGATTTGGCCAGTTCCGGCCGGCCATGTTCGGCGCAACTCTTCAGCTTGCCCTGAGCAGCGAGATGCGAATGCGAAACCTACCGTCCTCGGACCAGAGGGCATAGCCAGATGAACCTGCGTTGTGGGGAACAATAGGAAACGCCGCGCCTTCTCTTCGTAAGATAGAACAACTCCCATCGAAAATATCGATTCCCAAGAATGGAGAAAAAAATTGGTAGCTTCTCTTTGATTGAGCGTGTCATCCTTAGTGCAGGGGCCATGCTACTGTGAGGAACGTTAGCGACTGATTCCAGACTCGAACTCGACGGGTACAGGGATGGTGCTTACATCTTCTCTGTATCGTTTCAAATTGACCAAATGCCCGTAGGCAATATGGGAGAGAAAGTTGGCGTATTATAAAGGGGTGTGGGGTAGGGGGTGTGGGCCGGTGCTTGATTGGCGAGGTGTCCATGCGCATCTCGCAGCTGGTGCCAGTTGTGGCGCAGAGCTTCGCTCTTTGGTGAAGTACATGCTTTGGGACTCGATGTTGAGGGCAATGGTTCATCTGAAGCTCTATCATCTCGGTTCGTCGTTGGTAGACAGTCAAGCCCTTGCGGTTTTAAGCAGTGATTGACTTCTCACTTTTAGATGAACGCTCTTCAGTCATTCAAGTTTGTCTTATTAAGTCATGAAAGACAATCAAAATATTCATGCTACATCTAGGCAGCAGCTCAAACAAAATATGTACGAGTTATCTTCTAATACTATTGATGCGATTCATCTTTGGAAACCCACTCAACGCCAGCGTCGATCGAGGTGCCGCTTTCATGACTCTGTTGTAAGAGCTCCGCTGGCAGACTCGTGAAGAACCGAGAACTGAATCGTGAAAGTGTCAGCGCATGGTCAAATCGCCCATTTTATTTAAGAAGAGCACTTACATATCAAAGCTAGCACACATTCTCTCAGTCGAAAGGCTCAGAGCAATACGACTTCACCCCCGTTCTACTCCCAGGCGAAATGCCACACGCATCGACAACAGCCTGATCCGCCGCCGCGGCAAAGCACGCATCCTCAAACTCGTTCCCGCCGAGAAAGGGATGCGGGATCACAGGCCATGCGCGCGTGCTGTAGCACTTTGCCTTCTTCTCACTCCATTTGGATATCGTCGGCGCCGATGGGTCACCGCCCTTGACGCCGAAGAATTTGTCTTGCGGGTATTTGGCGCAGGCGGCTTGCGTTAGGCAGGAGTCTGATTTGGGGACTTGGTCGCTTCCGCACCAGCAGAAGTGGTGTCTGTCGCCGAGCGCTCGTGTGGTGAAGGCGGCGAGGAGGAGGGGGATGGAGAACTTCATGGTGGGTTTATGATGGGTCCGGGTCGTGTGAAGATGGAGGGAAGAAAGAGAGGCTTGGGTTGTGTTGAGTTTTTTTACTTCAAGGTCAATTGCAAGTGCTTCGGATGTCTTTTTGTTGTCGCGATACTCCGACTTAGAGTTGGCAACGTTTTCGTGATAGAACATCGCGTCTTAAGTCTATAATCACATCTCAGTCTCTTAAAGATATAGTTATTTGCGAGTAATAGAACGACTAGATACTCGATGATACCAAAGAGCCAATTGTGTACTTGGTGGCTATCGCCATAGCGGAGCCAAGTGGTTGAATGAGTTGCTCATAGTCCTATCAATTTCTCTATATTATTCCTGGCAGACTTCCTGCGAACTTTGATAGAGAGATCTACACTAGTACTGCCCAGAAGATCGTCGAATGGGGAAACACAAACCAAACGGCAACGCCGAGCCTGACCCATAGTGATCCAAGCTTAGTGGGAACTCTATCTATCACAACATTGACCGACTCTCAGTACCCACGCAAAAGTGTCTCTATCTTGTCAATTTTCGACGGGATGTTCGATTCGTGTTGAAGTCAATCAGCATCAATGTTATCGAAACAAAGTCTAATTAGATGAATGGAGGTCCTTGCTCGATTACACCTTATCACGCAATGATGCTTGCCAATGTTGACGACAAACAGCACGGTCCAGGAAACAGCTTGCTCGGCAAACATGGAGACTGATTGTTCCGACTTCAAGATTTTTATATGTCTCACTTGAACTCCGGGAACTTGCCTCGATGAGCCGCATTGCCCATCGTCCTATTTCTTGTCTTTCCGTATATATTGACCAGCTGCTTTGCGCCAACCTCCAACCACCACTAGCCTTTGTATCAGTCTTACCAAGAGTAACTGCTGGCAGTTGATTCTCGAGATAGAGTAGCCTGCCATGCACTTCCGATCTTTACTGGCGTTATGCACTGGGTACTTGAGTGTCTGTGTGGACGCGGCGCCGTCTAGTCGTGACTCCGACTTGCTCTCAGTCGTGAGCCCGCGTGCGAACTGCGTGCCTAGCCAGCTCTCGAGCGACACATGGAAGAAGGAGGGCGTAGACAACTTTCTGGCTAACGCCGCGAAATATTATACGGAATACTCCTCCGACAATGTGCAAGCTCTAGGGGCATACTTGGGTGCCCCCAACTTCTTTTGCGGGGTCAACCTGTGGTGTAATGCCGGTCAACCGTGTACACCGGTCACTTTGCCTGGGTGGTAAGCCATGTGTTCTGCTTCTATCCCATCACTCTTCTCTGTACTAACGAGTTACGCAAGGTACGCCTTGATGGGTATCCAAGGCTGGAACAACTACGTCAACAACCTCAACCTTGCCGTAACCTACGCTGCCACCATCCTAAGCCTAAAGCTCGCAAAGGTAGTCGACGACCTATGGCCGGCAAGAAAGGACAACGTCACCCCGATGAAGCAATTCCTAGCATGGGTCAACGGAATCCTAAACGCCTTCCCAACCACAGCAGCACTCGGTGCCACCGCAGGCAGCATCGCCAGCACCGTTCAAGGCGGCAACATCATTGCGGGCGGGATGATGCTCGCGCCCAGCGCGGGCGGCCAGTTCCTGCGATGGAGCGACCTGTCGAGCCAGATGGGCGGCAAAGTCGACGAGTACAAGCAGGCGATCGGAACGTATGCGAAAAAGGTCATTGACGCGCCCATCGACGACCCGACGTGGGGCATCAACAAGGTCTTGAGCGGCGGCGGCTTCCTTTCCCGCCAGACGAACATCACGCAGGACGATTTCGACACGTGGATGTACAAGACTGTCAGCGTGAACGCTATAGCGCTGCTGATGCAGGCGCAGAATGTGTACATCATCCGCACATTCAACAAGACGGCGTGCGATGACTCGTCTGCTGCTATTTTGTGCAAGCAGGAGGCGAACAGCAAGTGGACTGAGTGGCGGTTCCAGAGACACGATAGCGACGATGATGTGCCCGAGCACCGGCTAGCGGAGAAGCTTATTAAGACGTATGGGCTTACCAAGGAGGAGATCTTGAAGGGACCTGCAGACTGCTTTGATAAGCATGATTATGAGCAGCTTACGAACCCGTGGGAGACTGTTTCGGAGAAGGGTGTGGGCTTGGAACCTGTGCAATTGTGCAATTTTAATGTTAATGTTTGCAACATGGATGCGGCAGAGGGTGGTGAGTATGGGCCTACTGATGTGTATGAGCCTGGGCATTCGGATTGGATGTGTGAGCTGCAAGGAGTGACATGGACTTAGAGTGAATACGGGCTAGATCATTTCATGAGGAGCGATTAATAAACTGTGATGGAGATTGAGCTGGAGGCCCATAACTATAACTTCATGCCACGAAGCGCTAATCCTGAGAATGGAGCACAGATTGAATACTTAAATGATCCTCAATGTCTATGGTGAGTCGAGGGTATTGAGAGCATGGCTGGTCATTATTTTTCTCCTCCTTTGCTTCTACGTCTTTTGGTTCTGCCGACTGTTGGTAGCTATCTTCATCTTCAGCCTTTGCAGACTGGTCGTGACAGTCCTTCGCCGCTTCGCATCACGTTGAAAGAGGCTTCCAATCAAGAGAAAAGATATTAAAGGTCTATCTCGCAGTCATACTAACATCAATCCGACCCATCTAGCTGTTCAGGACCTCACACAAGTTATCACTATTAGTGAGAGTAAGTAACGCTTACAATTGTAAAGACTAGACTACTTTTATCACGAGAGGCGGCTAGCTACTAGTATAACGAATCTTATAAGCTCGAGTTAACTCGCGAATACGATAATGGATATTTCCTGTTACTATAGCTGTAGCCTGCGGTCAAGCGACTGAGGACCGAGACCATAGACTGGCCAATCTCCACCTCTGCCCCCTACCCCTCCGCCGCCCGGCCAAAGTTGGCAGGAGAACGCGGATTTATTGCATCACAGCCTGTCGCAGGAAGCCACGCATGATTGGTTCTTCATCATTCAGCCTGGTCGATGCATAGGCGTCGAGGCAGAACGAGCATTCTCTCTAATTGGACGCAATGGCGTGGTTGAAGTCAACTCGCAACTCGGCTGGAAGGCCATCCCACTAAGCATACCTTAGTTGAGATACCTCGCCTCCGAGGCTATCACCGATTCGTCCGATTGTTCATAGAAGCCGTCCCCAATCTTTGTGTCGAACTTAGGGGTGAAAAGGTACGCTGGTTGACTTCAACTGAAGCCCTGTCATGCCGAATTGCAAGAACGGTCCAGAGATCAGTCATCCAGATGCTGTCGTAGGATCGCGACAGGGACTAGTCCCATTAAAGCCTCTTCAAAGACTACGAGATGTCCTTTGGCAACGGAGCGATAAGACCAGACGCAACTCAACTGGCTTATTACTCTCACTTCCAGCCAAGTTCACGGTGTGCGGCCGGCTTAGAGCTATAGTGAGGCTCGGCCGAGACTTCACTAGGTCGATAATGCTTGCTCCTTGCATATCACACGAGAAACCACTATCAGTATGGAAACTGAACCATGCCTCTACGGCGGGGGGTAAATTTGGGTGAGCGCAAGTCTGGCCAACGAAGCCGGGCTTTTGGTTACACAAAGTACGCAACAACTCGGCCGGAAGTAAAAACCCCCGCAGCGAACTACCCACTCACACCCAACTTCGAGTCCGTCCCGCCCCGCATCTACTATCTTACCTTCTTTGGGGCAATCCTCGATATGAAGTGATTGTTGAATCGCCTTGTTCTTGGACGTCGTCCAGCATCCTTGCCATGTGGTGAGTTGGATGGGTGTCTAGGTCGTCTCGACCCCGTGTGTCAAGCCGGGTTCTTTCTACGTTAGCGGTTCGCACGAATTTCGTGCGTTAGCAGTATTTAAGCCGAGGGTTTCGTTGAATCTAGCAATGTTCACAATAGCATCTACGCAGCAACTAACGAGTCCGCGCGCTTCATACAGCTTCTGGCGATGAGCGTATCGCCGATTTGATATTCGGTACAGATACTATCGATGAATATGAACTCAAACTCCGGAGAGTCTGTTTAAAACGAGTACAACTGCCCTTACTCGTCATTGGTTTGCTCAAATACATGCGCGTGACGCGCGGCATAAGAGGTCCGACGTGCTGATTGTGCTATTACAGCCGTTCCGAGCCCAAGCCTACGCACGAGCACTCGACAACAGAGTCGCAGAGAAGCCTATCTCGTCAACAACTGAAACTTTATCGATCTCAATCGCCATCGGAAGATAGCAGTGCATACCGCGTCTCATACAAGAGCATCGATAAGAACGCAACCGGGGCGCAACGGAGGAGTAGAGTTGAAAAGCATTCAGCGAGTTCCACTGGCCGATTCAAGGGAGACAAATCCTGATTGAGCATCTGAGGCTATACACTCATTCGTTTCAGAGTCAGGACAGACTGGGAGACCTGCGGTTCAGGCAATTGTATTTCTTGAGCCTGTTCCAGAGTGTATCTTCCGCACATGTATGGTGGACGGGACGCCTTACAAGCTACATCGCGGGGTCAGTGTGTTATTGAATATGTCATTGGTAGAGCAATGGCTGCTTCTCAAAAGCCTGTAATATAGACTTTGAATCGCCACTGGCTTTGTCCCTTCCAATTTATGGCGATTTATCAGCGTATTTATCTCCTGCCATCAGTCATCTCCATGAACATAGTCTCTGAACAGCCGCGTTGGCACTAAAGGTCGAAACACTTTGATGAAAAGAAGCTCACGACATTTGTGGCGAGGTGCTGCTATGTGTTTGAAATTGTTTAGATAGGTATATGGAATATGCGAGCATTGCGGGAGAAGTCGGTGCACAAGCAATGCAGAGGTCGAGGCGATTGAAAGGGCAAGCACAAGGCCCGCTGCTCTCACGGGGGTACCCCGGTAGGTGGTCAATGGACGGCCGAGGGCTTCGTCATTGCTGATTGAGGTGTGTTCTGCCGTCCAGCCTTACAGCAAATTGGGCGAACGGATACACGCGTGTCACGGCCAGTGCAGGCCGTCTTACCGCAGGTTGCGGACCGGATCTCGAGTGGCCCACATTCGGCACTTGGGCGGGACCGGTATTGGTGTGGGGCGCCTTTCACCGGGCTTCACACCGAGCTTTCTCTAACTAACTTTGATCGACATGGCATTTTCAATACCCAAAACAAGAAGATACTGGCGTCTTTGCTTGATCCATTCTAATTTCACAGACATTCCGCTCGTGGGCGGCCAGATTTACATCTTCTCTATTAGTACCTGTTCTTCCATGCCCTTCTAGGCAGGGCGTGGCCCCCAAAGATCTCGGCACGATGATCGGGAGCTGCTCCTGCCGGTCAAGTTTCCTAGGGTTCCTTACCTTGCCTTGCTTTGCCTTACATTAAGGTAGGTAAGGTATATTGTGGCAGCGAATCTTTCAAGTGGAATTCATGAATGCAGCCACATACTTATGCGAGGTAACAGGATAGAGGTGCTCAACCTCAGTGCTCACGGGTCAGGGTAGTCACACGCTGACTGATTGGTTGGTGTACGACAAGTGTATAGGGCTGAGTGGACGCTTCGCACCTTCATTGGACCGTTGTGAAAGTGAAAGCCCTGCTGCCTGGAGGATTCCCGTACTTGAGCCAATAAAGATGACCGTTGGGGCGGAGCACATCACAACAGGGATACTTGCGCGCAGTCCCAACCAACCGGATGTGAACTCTCGCGCTGATGAGACGTCAAAGTCCTGATGCCATCTTCATTTAAGTCCTCGAGAATCCCATCCCACGTCCACGGAGTCTGTCTCTAGGACTTCTTTCCCGGGAACCTGGATTCCTTGGTCTTTGGCATCACTCCATGCTTTTGGGTCGGCCCTACATATACGTCTACCCATTCCCGTCCCCCTCCCTCTCGCTTTGCGCTCTGGATGAGCTCTTTCGGCCCCCAATTTCAGCCCGCCAAATCGACCATTGACTACCGAACGCCATACTTTGGGACAACACCTGCGAACAGAAGTCCGGACGACTCTCGTCAAATCGCTTTTTGAACAGTTCACGACTTTCATCCCAATCTTCACGCTTCCTCGACCTCGATATTTCATGTTCAGCAAGACCACCTGAGATCACCCGGCAGCACTTGGTCAGGCATCCGCCGAAACTGCGAGGCGACCAAGGTTTTGGGCGACCCATCGGCGGACAACTTCCTTCAAACGAGGCAACTCGGACGCCTTCTCAAGATTGCGAACCATTGATGCCTTGGATAAGGCATCGCGACGCAGCAAACGAGGCGACTGGCGCCCAGCTGGATGCCCCGCGCGGAGGCCTCTTGCCCACGTTACGTTACATCATCTGGAACCTGGAGGCGCCCCCTTTTACTCAACACATCTTTCTCATCACCACCTCATCGACGATTGGGTCTCATTCACTCTCGGCAAGGCAGACTTTATGCGTCACATCAATGAGAGTCGGCTCATCGCATTTGGTAGCGCTTACATCCAATCTGCACTGCCGATGGAACTTTTCCACTTCCATCTGCATCATCTCACCACAGGAGCTTTCCCTCCCAATCCCTCCCAAGTCACGCAGTCCCAACGCCCGCCCGCCAGAGTTGGCAGGTCTCTGTTCGCATCACAACCAATGGCTGCAGTCATTAATTAACCTCGAATAGGAAGCATCTTTCATGCCGCATACCTGCGATTTTCAGTCTCTCATGCACGGGACTTTTAGTCGTCCAGTGGGACGCCAGAGAGATCGAGGAGCTTGAAGTCAAGTCCAGCAGACTCAGCGGCCAGTCATCTTGCGTATCGGCCTACTACCTGGCTGATTCAGCCAGGCGAACGGATTTCGTCATTGCAGGTTACGATCAAATTGGTCTGGACCGGCCCCGGCAATGCTCCAGCTTTGTTGCGGACGGCTTGCGATACGAAGATCTTCGAAGATGTCCACGCGGCTTAGACGACCCGCGTTGATGGTTCTTTCAAGCGAAAGACATGACCTCATGTCAGATGCTTGACATTGGCAATCCTCTGGGAAAGCCTTCGATGCTCAAGCTCGCTGCACCAGAGGGCTTGAGCATTGATATTTGAGGTCGAGGATGCTATCATGACCACCGCCATTCACTTACTTCACAGACAGCACGATGTGCGAGCTGCAACTCGTTGTAACAACAACGACTCGAGATTCCGACTTCACTGCCTTTCCAGGAACGCCGGTACCCTGCTTACGAACATTCAACCTGCAGGGCCCATTGTGTGCTTGGGGTGGGGGCGGAACAGACTGGACGCCTTACCAGGCTGAAGAGGACTAACAGAAACAAGACAACGATTGGACCACACGATTGAATCCTTCGGCAACCTCGCCCCCCTGCCGGGGACCTGCTCCCTCGATTCGAATACCACGCCTCCCCTCAACGTTACTGCCCATGCTGCGGCATTGTACTCCATCGATTTAGTGCCGGGTAGCCATTTGAGCCTTCTATTCGTTGAACGGCCGCATTCCACCTGACGCAACCCGTTGCAAAGACACTCACCTTTCTCCTGGGGCAAGCTCAGCCATGCAAGGGTCAGAAGTGTGTTATGTTTCCTTCAAACCTCGAATTTGGATAGCAGTGGTTCGCGCGCTGTGCAAACTGGGCATATTTAAACCTGCCAAGTTGGATCCTGAGGAACCTGCACACTACACACACCAACGGTCAGATTCGCAACCTCACGAGAAGCTAGCTACCTGATTTTTTGACAATCAGTGATTCACGATTCACGCCCGCAACTCTGCACACATTGCCCTTCCTTCCCACAGGCAAACATGGCGCATTCTGGACAGTCAGCTTACAGCGGGTATATGATCCGGCCCCGGGCGTGGGATGTGAAGGGGAAGAAGCGTGTGAGGCCGATGTACTAATCCAACGGGTTCTAGCCATTCCTCCTCAAAGGGGTCACACAAGCATTCGTCCAAGGAATCCAAGAAAGAGCTCGCCCAACGACGGTCCTCAATGTACCAGAACCAACCAGCTTCTAATGAACCCACTGCGTATGGCGCCGCATTCCGAAGTGAGGGCGTTGCGGCCAGTGAAGCACGCCACCAGGCTAAAGCTGCAGAGAACATTGCAAGAATCATGAGCCAGTACGGCGGAAAGTAGGGTCATTGACCTAGTCATCCGTGAAGGAATCGCAGGACCCTGTACGGGCAGCAAAGGGCGGACGTGGTACGGCAGTGTCGGAGTTCTTTCTTGGTCGCGGTGGCGTTGATCGCCCGTGGTTACAATGATGATGTCGAAATGAAGGAGGACTAATCGCGGGCGGATAATGGTCGAGCGGCGTTCACGGGGAGGGAAAGATACCATAGATTCCATCGTCGGACGACTTTGGTCTACTTCTGCAATTGCAAATTCGTTCATGTTTCCAACTCTTGTACGTTTGCCGCGTGCGAATTTGCCCAGCACCTGCCAATCCGTTCCGTTACATGGTACTTGTGACCTATTGCTAGGCTGCTATTATTCATAATTGTTGACTTTCCGATATGAACGGCAAGAACCATCATCAAGCCCCTCCCAGTCGCACTGGATCGTAGCTCATCTCAGGATCCCCTGCCAAGGAAGGTGACTGCCGCTCGAAGTACATGGGAAAGAGCAGGCTCTACCTTACCTGCAGTCGATGGGATGAAGGAGGGTGCCTGGTGCTTTTGGGGCCATGGAAGCTGAAAAATGCAGTTTCCTTGTTGTTCCTGCCTGGGTTGCGTTAGCGCTTGCCATTGTGGTGTTCCTGCTGACGGAGGCAGATCGCCCTTTCTCTGACGAGGACGAGGCAGGCACATGTCGAACTTGGGGACAGGCACGACGATGCGTAACTTCCTGCCTTACCTGGTCTTTCTCGGATGGCAAGCTCCGTCCTCCGCTGCCCTTTAATCACGTCTACGTAGACGACACCTCAATACAAATTGCACATTGCATCAATCGTCATCGTCCATCTCTTGCAGACAATCGGTCTTGTTTATTCCTGATCAACATCACATGTTCGCAGTGGCATCACCAAAGTATACCCGAGATAGTGACCACTTCAAACGGCCAGGCAGTACACGATCAATAAAAGACTCTTATGAGAGATCATCTACACCCGAAACTCCGTGGCTAGCCAGAGACCCACGAGCCCTCCCTCTTCGTATCAACATGATTCAGTACCCATTACACGGCCACGGCCTTCAAGAATGCCCTGCTCTCGTTGCCTTGAGTCACCTTGGCGACGGGCGTGAGATGAGCCTCATCCGCCTCGGGTCCACCCTGCAATTGTCGAACATACGCCTGGGCAACTCTGAGCCAGTTGGCCTTCTCTCCCCGGCTTGCACCCTGTCCTTCCCATACCCACACGGCTCGGCCCGCATCGTCCAAGAGGAATACGTCTTGCTCTTCAAAGTCCGAGAGAGCAGCCTTGCTGCCATCCTTGACGAGATCGAACCTGAGCTCCCCGGAAGCATCGCTGAGACGGAACAGTTTCTGAGGTCGCTCGCCGGCGTGTGCCTTGGATGCTGATCGAACTGGTCTGGGACAGTGGAAACCAGACTGAGGCGTATCATCGCTGCCTCCGAGAAGAGTGACGATGACGCGAGATCTCGATTCCTCTTGGGCCAGAACCTCGACGTCGATATGCTTTGCCAACGTCATGTCGTTGACAACCTGAGCAGCCTTGGCCTTCTCCATCGGGCTGCAGCTCTTGCCCTGCCACTGCCAGATCTTGTCGCCAGTGTCGAGCACGAACACGTCGTCCTCGTCCAAGCTCTGCCACGTTGGCTCGACTTCGTGTACAACAACGCCGTTGGCACCGACAGACGGGTTCTTGAAGATGCGCAACAGAGTGAGAATCTCCTCTTTGCGCTCCTCATCTTCGACATGACGGAAACCAGATTTCACTCCACCAGAGCGGATTTGGATGCGAGGGAAGAGCTCTAGGAACTCATCAGACGGCGCTGATTGCAGCTCACGATGCTGCGTTGCAGCCCCGTGTAGGAACTCATCGAGCTCAACCGTCTTGTACGCGGCGGTACCGGCCTCGTCCTGCGATGTATGGGCACCGAGCCAAAAGAAAATGTCATGGCCTAGCTTCTCGGCATCGTCTTTGCTCCCAACCTTGTACGAGTTGAGAACGATATAGCTGTCGCCATCCATAAACTGACCATACTTCTCCTTAGGCCATGGCTTGACCTCAAATTCCTCAATACGCCAGACATGAAGCCCGGCGGCTCGGCCAACCTCGCCTTCATTCCAAGCTGGCTCGGTAGAGGCGGAGTTGTACTTCACTTGGTGGTCAATGTCCGTGCCAATGAGCTCGACATTGCTATCCTTGATGTCGTACTCAGTCGGATGCACAAGGCCTTGGTTTGGCGCCATGATGAGTTATGAATTCGATTCTGCTCAAAGGATCTAAAGAGATTGGTCTGGTCGTCTTTCACGATTGATGCGCTTGCCAAAGTCTGGAGAAGAATCGAGGTTGAAGATGACGGGGGAGAACCAGGAACAGCGTTTCAACGAACGTCATGGCACACACGGACGCTGTCTGTGGCTCAGCCAGTCACAGTGGATCGAAGCTCCTCGGCTTGTGCGGGGATCAGCAGTTTCAATTGGGTCGATCTGCCAGCTTTCCTTGCGGCTGTATCGCGAAGCCACACGAGATCCATCAATGAGGTACAACGCCCCACGAACGCCTCAACCAAGTCCCTCAAAGCCTCCAGCGCCGGCCCAGCTTCCATGATATTTGCTGTCTAAAAGTGGAAACAATATTCGGTATGTCAAGGTAATAAAACAAGGAACATCAATCCGCAGCATCGACCTCAGCCTCAGTTGAAGGGAGTGCTGAAGCCCAGCCAATCCGACTCTGGATCTGGTACCCCGGTCGTCCTCATGGAATCGCCGCCTAACCCGCTCATCACCTGTGGCTGCAGTAAATTCGTTTGGCCGTTGGTCGCCCGTGAGCTTGGCTCAGACATCTTGGGATAGTTGAAAAAGTCGAAAACGTCAATGTTGTCCAGTTCGCTCAACGAAGTCACCTGAGTCGATGTCGGCTCCATGCCGGAGCGTCGTGTGGAGGACGTCAAGGTTACTAGGTCGTGAGCACTCCTGAAGGCATTGCTGTTAGCACGGACCGGGCGCGATAAGACATCATATGGGAACACTCACTTCCTCATCGCGGTAAAGCTCATGTCGCCCTGTCGCCCTCGCTGTACCACCCGAGCGAGAATTTTGGCGTAATTGTTTGCTACCTCCCAGTACTGTCCAACATGGCGAAGCGTTTCGATAAAAAAGTCAATCTTGGGATCAACAGGACAACCAACAGTTGCGGCGTGGATAAGCAGCAACCTAGCGGCTACCCACAACGAAAAGGCGAAGGGCGGCCCCAAGAGATCCAGACCGTTGGCCTCAAAGACGTCCTGCGCAATATCGCCGAGACTTTGCACGGCAGACAAGCACCTCTGCATGGCATAGTGCGATGGGACGAAGATGTGAGATCTCACAGTGGGGTACGCAGCCGAGGAATGCAGACGCACCACAGACGTGACATATGCGCTATGCAGCATGAACCAGTTAGCGACGCGGCTCGCGGGATCTGAGTGACACAAGGCCGAAATCCTGCTATACTCGCTGGGCAAGCTCTGCAACCAGTTGTCGAGCGCACCGTCCAGCGATCTATATGTGTTCCGCCAAACGGCCATTTCCGAAGACGATGTTACGTCAATGGGTGTTTTGAGAAAGTCGTGGACCTTGCTCAGTATACGCAGGATCTCGCAGTGGTACGAGAAACTGCCGAGGTTTTCAGGTTTGTTGATGGTCGGGCTGCCGGTTTGGTTGGATGACGGACTCCATGACTTCGTTTCAACGGGAACGTTTCTCGAAAAGAGATCGTATGAACACGGCAAACCGCGCTTCATCTTTTTGTCGTCGAGCATGAAGTCGAACGTCGTTGTCGCTATCGTCGCGTACCGATCAAGGAGATAAACCATCCAGCAAAGCCGTCGACGGCCCTCGTCTTCGATCCAAGATTCTGGTCGACCCATCGCCACTCGACGGATCGAGCCCGTGTGCGGCGTCTCCTCTGCCTCGGCCGTGAGATACACGCTGCTCTCTTCGCAGAGTTCAAGTTGCCTCACATTCTGCGAGAGCAACGCGAGCATGTTCCAACCGCGGGGCCCGTTTGAGGTTCCCAGCTCGTCCAGGCAAAGTATCACCAAAGCCCTCAACGCGGCAATGCTCACGTTCTCCATAGCGTATATCTGCACCCTGTGTTTCGACACTGCATGGTAGTGTGACCGCATATCGGGAGACAATCGCGGGTCTTTCATGAATCTGAGCGTCGTTGCTACTATGGCATGTAGCAAAACACGATCGGCTTCGTTGAGGGAGGTCGAACCAAAAAAGGCGCCAAAGGTTGTTTTGCGGTCCAAGATCGGACACCACGTGTTGCAGTGTTTGAAGTACAGGTCGACAAGCGTATATAGCATGTCGTGAGGTGGAAACTCGGAGACAGTCGGGACTGAAGATGCATCTTTTCGAGACCCGTTGACGGTGGGCGATGCGCCTGCTTGGCTGAAAGACTCGCCTGCGGATAAATTCAGGAGAGCCTGAACCGAAGTCCGGTCACCATTCTGCAACGCCTCTTGGGCATCACCACCCTGCCAAAAAGGGCTCGAGAAGGCTGGCGTTCTTCCGTTCGTGGTTGGCGGCCCCCTTGAAAGGCCGGGAGCTGGGCTGACACCGTTCGCATTTCCATCAGGACGGAATCCCTCGATTTGAGATGGCGCCTGATTGCTGATGGATGGCGAATGAGCCTGTGATGTGGCAACGTGATCATGGGCGATGTGATCTTCTACACGACGGCCAAGAGCCTGCAAGAGAGCATCGAGCCTGTTGACCTTTGCTTCAAGTTCAAGACTGAAACCGATACGGCTACCCGGCTTCTGTCTTTCGAGATAGACGCATGTTCGGTTGTGACGGGCGCACCAAGAACATGCGGGCTCTGCACGATCGCACTTGACCTTCCTCGCCTTGCATAGTTCGCATCTGGATTTGCGTCAGTCGACGGCCATGCATCTCATTTGGGGGGCCACACAATCAGAAGAGCACAACATACGATGTCTTTTGGTGCTTCTCCCTCTTACGCTTCCTCGGTGCACCGGCCGAGCCATTGTTGGTCGTATCTTCACCACTTGAGCCCTCGTCGTGGCTGAACACCGAGTTCGCTTCCTCCTCGGCCATTTGTTGCGGACGTGCATTCGTGTCTAGCATATCTGTCCCATGGTCGTGGGAACTCCACATTTCCCGATTTTACTTTGATGGACTGCGAAGGTGTTGCTCTTATCAGGGCCCTTTTTGGATGGAGCCGTGAGGAGCCTGGCCGAATTTGATGTCAGGAAGTGGTCATTTCACTCACGAGCGGGCGTGCAGCAAGCAGTACTAGGCAGGCTAGCGAATTGCCTCAGCCGGCCGGGATGCTGGAGAGAGTGAAGGATTGCGCCGCAGCACCTTGGGGCGCATGGGGCATATCCGGCCTTGTCCGCGTTGGTTAGCCGGGTCGATGTGCGAAACGTGGGCAGCCGAATCCAGGAGAGAGTCTCTGTACCGTCTGTGTGTGTACGGAGTAGTGCTGGTGTCAGCGCTGCAGTCGCTGCAGTGTCAGTCAGTCCAGTCAGTTTGTCGTGCGCGCGAACCTGCAGAGTGCAGTCTGCAAGTCGAAGCAACAAGTGGAGAGAGATGGAAGACAAGCACCGAGTCTTCAGCGAGAGGCAAAAAGAACTAGTCGACTAGGTGGAAAAGACTCGGGAAGCCAAGGCCGCGATGAGGGACTTTGTCAGCAAGCGCTTGAGTGTCTGAGTCTGACCAAGTGTGAGAGGGGGACGGGGTCCTTCGGTGTTCTCTCCCGACACGCCATTTGAAGAGATGGCTGGCACGGAGGGCAGAAAAAAAAGAGAGATCCAGTTGTCGGCCCACTCTCGTCCACAATAAGAGTTGGATCTCTTGCGCAACTCTGTCACCGTCCCTTACTTTACGCGGTCTGACCGTCCTGATTATCTACTCTGCCAACTAATACCGGGACAGAGTAGGTATCCATATGACATACAAACACTACGGAAGACGACGGAACCGTGTACA